GCTCTTACTTCCTTGGTGGAGGTGCTGAATAGGTGCTCAGGTGCTGAACAGATCCTAAATAGGTACTGAGGTGCTGAGAAGATGCTGAGCAGGTGCTCAGGTGCTGAGTAAGTGCTGAGGTGCTGAGTGCTGGGTGCCAGCTATTACCCCCTTGAAAAAAACGCGCATGATGTAAATGTTCTATATCGATGAAACTTACATGTACGTATAGTTATCAATATGTGCTACTTGTTTTGTGCTGAGATCAATTACAAATTTTATACTTTTAATAGCATCAAACTCTTTCTAAAGTCATTGCAGTAGAAACAGTCAACAATAGTTATGAAGATCAACAAGATTGATTTATGTTCTATATGGTAAATTTAAATCAAATTATACATACTTATCGTTTCGATCAGAAATCAAGACTATACACTAGTATTTCAGTAGTAATCTTAGATATCTCGCTATTCACAATTCTAATAGTAAAGAATTGATGATATAATAAAAGTACTTACAATAATACATTATATAGTTGGATAAAAAGGTATTTATATATGAAAGTTGGCAACTCATTTTTTTCTTTTAGCGATTTTTCTTTAGTAACATCTGGATAATATTTGTTCGACTGACTACTAAGAAACTAAATGATATTTTAAAAAATCACACAAGCAAACTGAAACTATTATTCCCACTTCCTATCAAACAACTGTTATCTGTTTTCTGGAGCTAATGTTTAACTGAAGAGAAAAAAAAACTAATGAGAAGAATCAAAACTTTTCTTATGTATACAATATCAATATTATGCAGTGACTCTTCTTCCAGATTCCATAGCTTTAAGTAATTAAATAAATGAATAGATACATCTGGAATACATTCGAAGAGAAAAATAATTCCGACTATTGACTTACCAAGGAAACAGATAAACTCTAAGCATTATTGACAAGTACCGCTCGTCACAACTACTTGCTTTAACTTTAATACAAATTGATCTCATCATTGATCGTTACTTGTCTTTAGCTTTTACTTTCGCAAATGTCCCTACCCAGGTCAACCAATCCAACGTTGGATCCGATCGGATCTTATAGGATCCGATCATCCGACAGAATCCGATAGAATTCCTGGTGACGGATTTGCATTGGATTCCGTACGGAAAATTTTCAGTTACTTGCTGCAAATTTGATGAGCGGCGTTTTTAGCTATTTTCTATGATGGCCTTATGGTCACCTATCGGATCCGTCTAAATCCGTTTGTTGGAAATTGTGAGATCCGATGTTGGATCCGATGGGATCCGACCATAACGGAATCCGAAGTGATTCCGTCACCAGGAATCCTATAGGATTTTGTCGGATTGTCGGATTCCGATAGAATCCGGCATAGGATCCGATTGGATCCGAATATGGGATTGGTGCACCTGGGTAGTCGAATAAACGTAATAGGAACAAAAATAGAATATCGACGGACAAGTCAACACACAAATCTCGATTTAAATTTCACCCATTATCAAGATCGATACATACGTACCTCAAACGTACTTTCCATCTGTAGTATACAAAATTATTTATTTCGTCCGAAGCAGGGCTAGGCAACTCTCTAGACATTTCTCGACTCGAGTGAGATGAGTCTAAATTCTATGGTTTCCGAATTCTTCAGCAACTCTACATCCATCTCAAGGAGAGGGTGTAGGTGTGAAAGGGTGAGAGCAAGCGCGAAGTATGTGTTGAGACTCGCGAGCACACTCACGCTCATATCTCCTATCGTCTTCAATTGTTCAGATTTCGTTCTTTTTCAAACGATTCGTCTTCTATCTTCTCAAACATGACGTTTCTCTTATTAGTAACAGAAACTAGCTTTCTCACAACAGTAGAAAGCAGCTGTACAGCGGCAGAACTCAAACTAGGCAGTTTGTCATGAATG